GAAGTATAAAACCACAGGGTTTTCTAAATAAATGCTGTAAAAACCATGCAATGGAATATACCCCTTTTCGTCCAATGTGCTCTGATATCTGACCGCTAGCTATTGCTCCAACCATGGCACCCACGTTTGCTAAGGATCCAAACATAGAGTACTATGCCCCCACAGAAAAGGAAACAAGAAGTTTAGTTTGTACGATTAATAAATAAACATGTGCCATTAAAGAAGTGATTCAGTGATGATGAATATTCAGACAAACCTCTGAAATGGTAAGTCCAAGATCTCCAATAATTTCATCTTGAGTGGGATTGGAGTAACCACACTGCATCATTTAACTATTAATTATTACAAACAGAAAATAGTCATCCTCACCACATATGCAAGTCATAATGATGGATCCATCTTCACTTTGTAGGGAGTGAGTGATATGATAAAATTTATCAGATATCAACTTTTATACGGAGTACACTTTTTCTTACTAAAGAATACTCCCTCCGTCTCTAATAAAACTCCACATTCATTCTCTATTTTCTGCAATCATGTGTTAAAATAAAACACTCATCTGGCCTCATGTTTTGTATAGCTTTTATTTATGATCAAAGTGTAGGAAAAACATCAAATTTCAAGTGTTGCAGTTACAAAATGGGTTGAACAGGAAATTGAAAAAAAAGGAAAAGGGAAAAAGAATAAAGTAGGAGTAAACCATAGAAAATATACCAAAATAAGAGTTACATGTTTTTATTCCCAAAATAAGAGTTAAAACCATATACATTACCAAAAAGTATTGTAAGATGTCCATATATAGTGCCACATTATCATAGTGTAAACTCCTATTTTGATACTTTTTCTATGTTTTAATCCTATTGAGGGCTATTTCTTAAGGGGAAAAAACAGTAACTCTAAGTATCATACGGAGTAGGCAAAATAGGGGAGGAAGAAAGAGTGTTAGGGTTCGCACATTAAAGCCGAACTGAATTGGGCCGAGAGAGACGATGAGGACGCAGAGGTAAACGGAAATGGACTCGCGAATCAGCTGGTTCGAAGAGCCCAACATGCTTCCCTGTCTAGACCCCATCCGGTACCAGCTTCCGGTGTGGAGCAACGGCCGGCGAAGCCCATCCTCCACGATCTCTTCTCTGGTGCTCATCGCCGGCGGCGCGTGGGCGTCGTGTAATCGATCTGTCTCCCCGTATCTTTTTTGTAAAAAATTATACGGGCTCTGATCATCCCGTAGAGCCGAGAGGTGGAGGAGGAGGGGGATGATGGTTTCATTGGAGGGAGAGGATGTGAGAAAAAATCGCAACTACCACCTGCTACACGGAGATTTCTGAATTTGTTGGGAATAAAATGGAGTTTCAGGCTGAGCATACGGGTTTGATTAACGCCTCAAATTTCAGCGGGAACCAAGTTCCCTATAGGCTATAGGCCTATAAAAAAATTTAGGACCATGCTACACTTACACCAACAAATATACCCCATTTGTACACCACAGGTTTGCACAAACATTTCGATGATTTACACCGACACAAGTGTTGGTGCGTTAATAAAAATTCACACGGACACAAATGTTGGTGCGTTTAACAAAAATTAGTTTTACACCAACACAAAATGTTGGTGCAAAACTGCGGGGTACAAATTGGGGTACAAATCTTGGGTACACATAGCATAATCCAAAATTTTAAATTGGTCGTTAATTTTATTATTTGTCCATACATTTTTCTACTTTTTATTATAAATACATGTGAACCTCGAACTTCTTTTTTTTTAGACAATTAAGTCTAGGGGTGGTCGTGGATATAATTTATGATGATCTGTGATACGATCGAAGCCTATTAAAACTACTCTTATTTCAATAGTTCGATGTCAATAAAGAATGAACCTCAAAATCATTCATTACCATTGTGTTTTGATACGGAACAGTACAATATCATACACATGCTCAAATCGTGCTCAAAAGTTAAACATGTATTACTCAAATATTATTAAAACAAAAATATAATTTTGTATAAACATCACTTTTCACCATGTGCGCATTAATTGTTTCTGTCGCAAAGACTATGGGGTCAACAGGTCAAGTCACATTCGAATGTCGTTGACGCCTTGTATGTGCTGAATGCACTATAAGGCTAGAGTATCTGCTTCTTCTAACACATATTCACTACAAGAAAATCGCAGAATTGCGACGGAAATTTGTGACGGTTGTACTTCCGTTGTACCCGGCGACGGCATTTGCGACAGACATTGTCGCCGTAAATACCAGTGACGGAATGTGCGACGGAAACATAAATCCTCGCAAAGTTTTGGGCGGGAGACTTGGCGCCAATTAGCTGCGACGGAAGTGACCATTGCAAACCTAATTATTTATTTTAATTTAATTTATTTGTTTGCGACGGAAACTGCAAAGGAGTCTGCCATGGAACTTCTCCGTCGCAATGGTTTATAAAAAATTTCATATTTTTTTCTTAAACAACGTCGTTTTGCTTCACACTCGCATAGATTTTACTTTCTGCTACGGAACTTGCGACGGAAATATTCCGTCGCAAAAAGATTACTTTAAATAAAATATCAGTCTCCTTTCCCCCAAATCTGCAGCGGGTGGAGATAGAGGTGCGGCGGCCAGCGAAGAACTTACGGATCCAGATCCAATTTCTTCAATTCCAAGTAATATTTTTGCATTTTTATTGCAATTTACTTATTTATTTTCATTAAAATATGATTTATTTTAGAAAAAATCATTTTTAGGGTTATGATATTGTTGGTCATGTGTGCATCAATTGTCCCGTGACATAAGCTATGTGGGACAAGTCAGATTCAAATGTAGTGGGCGTTTGTGTACTGAATGCACTATAAAACTAGGGTATACACTTCTTCCAATATTAATTCATTTTAGAAAAATTCGTAGTGTCTGAGACCTTACAAGCACAACCTTGTTTAAGGCTCAAATATGGAAAATAAGACTTTTTTTCAATTCAAATAACACTGCAATATTAATAACTCCAAAAAATAATGCTCAGCTCATTGTAGTAATAAATAATACGTAGTATGTAACAACAACTATATAATAATAGTAAAAGAATATTATACAAAGTAAGAAAGAGTATTACAATACAAAGTATTCTATATATGGTAAGATGAAGTGAGCAAATAAGTATTTGAAATACTTCGTAGATTATTTTCAATAGATTGATATGTGATAATCAATTTTAAATTTTTGTATCACGGTTTCGTCTCGTTTGACATCGGTTCAATTTCAATTAGGGATAAATCTTTGGATATAGTGTTTTGGGTCAAACGATCCACTATATCTTTCCTATTGTAGGCGTTAGGAGGAGAGATTGATGAGCGGGAGGAATTGAGGAGGACTGGAGAGAAATTATGCTTTCATGATTCTAAGATCCACACGCAAAATATGGACATTTTCACATTTTTTTGGATCGACAAGAAGATATTTCTTTTCTAAAAAGCCCAATTCATTCCTGGTACTTATATATTAAGTTATACTCCATCCGTCCTATAATGATCTTCCCAGAGCACTATTCCAACTTCACGGGAATTTATATTTATTTGTGTTTTTCATGGCCTATATGATAAAATAAAATATTCTTGTCACCACTTGTTTTGTTGAACTTTTGGTGTAGTTTTTAAATATGTATATTTTATTTTTTATTTCTATACCAATATTTAAATAAAATAGATTGAAAAAATTTGGGATTTTTCCTCGTTTTGCGAACCGGGAAGATCATTATAGGACGGAAGAAGTATATACTAAAAGAGAAAAAAGAGAGAGGTGCTAAATTTGAGAAGGTGGAGTTTTATTAAGTTTACCCTATTGCCTCACGCAGTCACGCGATACCCCAACAAGGCTCCACCCGAGTCAAGGTTTGATTTAGTATTAACAATCTTTTACTTTAGAGTTTAGACATCGAAGGAGGAGAGAAGAGCATCTATATATATATATATATATATATATATATATATATATATATATATATATGGTTAATTAATTAATTAACCACATGCATGTGTTTTTGTTGCAGTCTACTCCATACATAAATACCCCTAGCATTTTCCCATCAAGTATATATCCCTAGCATTATGTTTTTAGCTTCTAAATGATCTTGAAACTGACTAAATATTGGAGTTCCCACGTTGGAAAATAATGATAAATACCACTACCATATATAGAAGGATAAAGTCATACCTATCGGCTTAAGCTTTTGGGTTAGAATAGTAAATCTCAATTTATATGCAATCGGTTAATTTTACCCGACAGTCTACCCGTAGTTCTCGACCCGTCGGAATTTTAACATGGTATCGGAAGAGGTCCGGTCCGGGTTTGACTCTTTCTGGTTTTTGGACGTGGGTTTAGCAAAAAAAAGAGCTACCCATCTGAAGTTTGGGTTGAATTGGCTAAAAATAGAGTGTGATGCAAATGCCCGTTTATTTATTTCTTTATTTATCTTCTCATATTTACAGAGCTTAAATCTATATGCATACAAATTTCAAATTTTGCGGACTTTTATTTACCATGAATAAATAGTGATATTCATCATCTAGGTATTGACCATAGAAAAAAATAGAAGACTATTAAGTAATTAATTAATTATGTAATGAATAATTGTACCCATTTTCAATGTTCTGAAAATACTTGGGACAAAGAAACAATATGTTTATTGCTTGGGACTAAATGCTACAGTGTGTTACGACAAATGTGTTTGTGACCAAAAACCATTTCCGTAATATTCTATGTTTAATTTGTTTTATTACACATAGTTCACAATTATTTTTAAATATGCAATGTGATTTTTAATCTTAAACATTTTAATATTCTCATCATTCTTAAATATCCAATGCAATTTTAATAGGGAGTACTTTAATAGAAATCTAATAACATAATTTTAAATAAAAAAAACTATTTACTTTTTATTTCACATAATCATAAAAATTAATTGCAGTAATATATATATATATACACACACACACACGGTAAGTCTAAAATGTCACCAGTGCTACTGGTGTCATTTGCTTACACTAGTTTGTTTGGGGTACCTACGGTGCTCCGTTTGTAAAAATGATGGTTCCTACCCCCCCTAACCCNTTTCCGGTACCGGTACTGTACCGGTACCGTGTCCACCCCTACCCGTGCGATCATTTTCCATTTACTATACAAAAATGCCCCACAGATTGACAAACACTTCATTTCGCTACATAGAGTGCCTCAAGAACCATGCGGCCAGCTGTGGACGGCTGCAGAGAATTCATGGCCGCCGGAGAAGAAGGCACCCCGGGATCCTTAAAGTGCGCCGCTTGCAGCTGCCACCGCAACTTCCACCGCAAAGAAACACTATGCGCCATTCATCATAATCATCATCGGCTCCGGCCTCCACCTCCTCTCCCCACAATAATGCAGCACCGACACAATAGTAACAATCATCACTGCGGCAGGAGTACTCCGGCGGAGCCTCTGGCCGGAGCTCCGGCGGGGCCATCCAGCGCAGAAGATGGTAAGTCGCTGGTGTCATCGGAACAGAGTGGCGGGTCAAAGGAGAAGAAGAAGAAGAGAAGAAGAAGGTTGAGAACAAAGTTCACACAAGAGCAGAGAGATGGAATGCATGAATTTGCAGAGAGGATTGGGTGGAAGATGAGGAAGGAAGATGAAGAGGAAGTGCAGAAATTCTGCAGAGAAGTTGGATTGAAGAGGGATGTTTTCAAGGTTTGGATTCACAACACCAAACAAGCAAAGAATAAGAAGAGACAATTGTAACTTGTAATTAAGTGAAACACAGATAAAAAAACCATCCATTCAAATATGATGAGTGGGGGCAATTTATGGAAAAATAAACTCCATTCTTGCAATACCCCTAAACATTGTTGTGTTAGCAAATAGTGATTATTTCTCTATGTTTATAAGCTGATCAAAACTGTTTATAAACTATTTTAAACAAGTTTCTCTGTGCTTATAAGATACTTATAAGCTAGAAAAAATAAGTAAGTCTTACCTACTTATTTTTAAGTCAGTTTTTTTATTTCTTCATTTTGATCAGATTACATACAAAACTATTCTTCACCTATTTTGAATATCTCCAAATGACTTATATATCATGTAAGTCATTTTATCTACACACAAAAAGAAAAACTTATAAGCAACTTATAGTTAGAAAGTATTTATAAGCAATAAGTCAACAAGCACAGAGAGAAACACAAACATATACTCCGTATAATTCAAAACTCTTCAAATTCCACTATCAAGTGAAATTGTTGCTAAAGAAATGTTTCCTCATAATACCTCTAATCAATAAAAGAGATAAATAAGAATTTAGAAAACAGAACTCCAAATATATAAAAAGAATTTGGCACCTAAATGAAGGAGTAGGAAGGATGTCCGCCGCCATCAGCGAGCTGCAGCCGCTGCTTGTGCTCTGCAACTTTGAAGTCAACAATCTCTTTGAAGAGCTGAGAGTCAAGAACACAGTCAGGGCTCCCATAAACAGCTGCCTGCATGCTGGCCATTAGTTTCGCAATCTCACGTCCCGAAAACCCTTCGGTCTTCCTCGCAGCTTCCTTGAGAACATCGTCGCTGATGTCATCCTTCACGGTTATCCTCCGCGAAGTCTTGCGAAACAGATGTAGGCCCCACCGGTTGGACTCGCCGGCGGCGTCCCCTTCACCGGAAGAGAGGTATTTGTTCATGTACAGCTTCAGGAGATGGTAGCGTTCTTCCTCCTGCGGGAGGGGGAACTCGATGACCTCATCGATGCGGTCAGTGATGGCGGTGTCGAGATCCCCCGGTCGGTTGGTTGCGAGGACGAGGACTACGTCCCGGGACTGATCCCCTGTTCGGAACAGCATTGCATTCAATGCACTCCTCTGAGCTTCACTCATGTGTCGGCTGTTTCGCCTGCAAATGAAAATAATAAAATGTGACTCCCTCCATCCCAAAATCATCTCCTCGCTTTCCTTTTTTGAAAATCGCAAAATAAATGTCCCTTATTCCTTTTAAAAAATAGAAATATGTGGGTCATGTTCATCCTCAGTTTTAACCATACAATTTCATTAATCTTTAACTCCTTGTCATTTTCACTTCTACTCCCATTTGATAAAGGGGGTGGAATATTTTTATTTTTATTAGTCTGTAGTTTTTACTGACACTAGATGGATCCAATTTCGGAAGAGAGTATGAAAGATTATGGACATAAATTAGCAAAACAAATATGCATTGACTAACTAAAGATACACGGAGTTGTTGTTTCTAACACGTAGTATAAGACTAAGAAATATGCATAAATTAGGAAAATACAAACTACTCCACCCATCCAAAACTCTTCTATCAAACAAACCATGAGAACAGCATTGAGAAACTTACTCGCATAAGAAGGCATCAGCTTCATCAATGAAAAGCAACAAGCCCTTCTTGGATTTTTTTGCCCAATCGAAGATCTCATGAATTTTAGTGACAGCCTGTGCACCCAATGGTACAACATCTCCTCCCGTCATCATTGCATAATCCAAACCCTGTTGAATTTATAGACCCAGTAACATTTAGAACACACAAAGTAAACTTTAACTCCATAAGATAGTTTGGGTCCCATAATATACTAGGAAAATTAATTAGAATGCCAAGTTAAATTCTCGTGTGTGATTTTAAAACATAAAATACAAGGAGAGTGAAATAGGATTTGCATTGTTCAAAGTTAACATATGTTTAGATTCCTAGTCTTTATTTTATGGCAATAGATAGATAAAATGAATAGAACAAATATCAAGAGTAAATTTGTTAAGTTTGAACAAGCATTTTTTATATATTCAGTAAGTAGTTTTATTTTCCTTCACATCCTATTTCCTTTGAATTTTCATTTATATGTTCCCCCATCATTTCTTTCCCTGGCATTTTTTCGGTTCAGAATTTAGCATTACCAATTACCAAAATTTTATTCCTAAATGCTCCAAGGAAAAATGTGTGTTGATATTTATTCCCTTTCTAAATAACCTACGACCACACAACTTCATTTTTATTAATAATTGTGTTAAGTGAAAGGACGAGTCGTATTATTACTATTGCTACTGCTGCTGCTACTACTACTATTATTGTTATTACTGCTATTATTATTAGATGTATAGCTATTACTAATATCATCACCATCATTTTATTAATCCACACATAGAAGATGGGATGTTTTGATTAGCAGATGTCAAACAGTTATATCCCTCAACATCTAATACTATTTCATGTTTATGCATTTCATGGACCATTCATTGCCAAGAAAATAAAAAAGAACGACTAAAAGGATGGGTCATTCATACCGATTTTCTGGCTATTTCCCTGGCTACCATTGTTTTGCCAGTGCCAGGAGGTCCATAGAACATCATATTACGAAAAGGTGCCTGGTGAGACTTTGTGTTAGCGGTGGCCCGTGAAAGGTGCTCTATTCTCCTTTGCAATGATGGATGCAAGACGATATTATTGAAAGTAGATTTACTTGCTGCATCAAAGGCTGCACCGGATTTAGATATGTTGGTTACAAGTTGTGAAATCATTGGAAATTTTTTCATTGATGATTCTCGAATCAGAGATGGCTGCCCAAGAATCCTATTAATGTATCCCCATGTAACTCTTGCCCCTTCCCTGGATGACAATTTGAACACAGACAACCAAGGAGATCAATACAGGAGATATATCATATTTCTCCAAGTCTTTTTTTATGTTTATCGGAATAAAGACACCTCTGTCAAATATCACGTCAGAATTAAAGAATAACATTTTGTATTGTGCATGGAGAGTGCCTTTTAGGACATGTTTGGATGCAGGGGTTTGGTGAGGAGGGTTGTAAAGAGGTTAGTTTATATCTTGATACATATTTGAGATATTATAAAAATTGAAAAATTAACATAATATGTGAGTGTATAACTTTTATGACCACCTGATGATTGTCATCTTATCGCGATATAGAATAATCCCACAATGCTCTCCCCACTTAACCCACCTCCATCCAAACTTCAAAGTCCAAACAGGCCCATAAAAACATGTTTCATCTAACATAAGAAACAAGAGGCTGCAGTGCTGCACTGAATATTACACACTGACCTGGTGGTATAAACCCCAGCAGCTAATGCAGTAGCTCCACCCACAGCCATAATCAACTTACTCCTATCAGTCAATAAAACACGGAATCCATCTGCATATAAAAAAGTTCAATGAAATTACCTAACATGCAAACCATTAAAGTTAGAAAGAGGAGAAATTAAGTATTAGAAGTCATCAATAAAGTATTATATTAGATCATGAAGACATGCAGATCATAGTTCCTATTTAAATCGAATAAACCATCAAGTCCCTGCTCTAGCCCACACAAGGTGGTGGTCAAATAACATTGCTACAAGCTTCAGTTGAAGTAAAGCAGAAAGGAATGTTGTGTTAAAAAAATTTGTTGCTGAATCAAAATCTACCCATCAAAGGAGCATGCAAGAAAATCACTGGTTGAACGAAAGATTGAAATTGACTATTAATAAACTGGTATTCCAATCCAGTTAACAATAAATGTTGTTTTAGAAAAAATAATATCAAGTGATTGAGGCATAATAAATATGGAAAAACTTGCAATCTTACTCCTCACTTACATTTAAGCACCATTGTTTATCAAATATCAATTTTGCATGTGAGTCATAAACAGACACAAAAATGAAAAAATAGCACAAAATGTCATCTCGGCTTTAGAAAACAATACAAACAGGGATAAAAAAAATTGACCAAAAAACCAGACTGAGTAACAATGCACAGCTACATGGATCATCAAACAACGCTATTGTGCCCTATCATGTACCAAATGTGCAGTGAGATCATTCACGCGAAGGTACCCCTTGACCACTTCGTGCCAAGTCTTCTTAGGTCTACCTATGTGGCTAGAAGAAGAGGTAGACCTAAGCAGACTTGACACGAAGTCGTCAAGGGGGGCCTTCACGTGATTGATCACACTGCAAATATGGTACATGATGGGCGCAATGGCATGGTTTGATCCATGTAGCCAACCCAACCTAGTTGGATAAGGATTTGTTGTTGTTGTAGTAACAATGCATGGCCAGATCAATCACATACACAAAATATGTGAATAGTATCAATAGTTTTATGCTTATGAGATTGTGCATGTACATATAAGTATTAAGTTGATAAGGCTATGTAAGAAACAACAAACACTACATAACACATTCCTTTAGTACCTTCAACGTGAGTAAATGTTGTATTTATTGCAGCAAGCCACTTCTCTTTTTCACCATTTATTTTGTCAACTAGCATCCGCTTATTCTGATCTTCAGTCAATTTAGCTTCAAGAGCTCGGCCTTCAGCTTTTGCCATGGCCTCAATTCGAATAGTTTCTCGTTCCATTTCAGCTCTCTCTTTCTCTGTTTGCCGTTGCTGTGCTTGGATCTGTTCTTCAGTTGCTCGTCTTGATTGTTCTTTTCGTATAGATGACTCCTCTTGCATTTTGACCAATTCAGCATTTTGATGTCTTTTAGTCTCATTTTCTGTCTGAGATAGTGGTGAATGATAACTTGAACTTTAACCCATGGAATATCTTTTCAACAATGAAGAATTAAATAAATACACCTTCTAAATTAAATGTTAATTGATTACAAATTAGATACTTGATAACCAAGTCTAAGTTGCTTAAAAAGTAAAGCCCACACGACTCCAGGCTCTCCATCCATAGGGATTTTGAATACAATCAAGTAATTACTTGTGCCCTTGCTCAATGTAATCAGTTACCTTGCCAATGATATTACTCTACACAATATGAGAACATTGAAAAAAATGAGTTTGAACATCAGACCTGCATTCTTTTCCTTGCCAATTCATCTTCGTATCTCAGCATTTGTGCCTTAGCCTGTGATTGTTGCTGATAAAGCTCCCGTTGATCTTCTGCCCATTTTCTCTGCTTCTCCTGCATATGGAAAAAGGAGGATGTGATATATGGCGATGCACCATTGTGACTTACAGCATGAAATA